ACACACCTACACCCCCACACCACTGCAATATTGGGATCTCTCCACATGCTTCCAACACAATTCTGAATTGATGACAAGATTTTTACTAAGCCTTTTCAGGATACTCGATGATCTCACTCTTACATACCTCTACCTTTTCATGTCACTCCACTCCCATTCCCTTGCCCTCTGTACACCAATGCAGCCATTTCCTCTTCCCTCTGTTACAGCACCCCAGCTACGTCCACTATCTATGAATTTCAACTCATAGCATTTCATGTGTAGTGGAGTAACGCGTGCGGGGTTTTTCAAACTGTGTGCATGCATGTGTGAGCCGTGGACAGTGAAGTCACATCAGGGAAAAATAAGGCACCTTTAATATTCTTAACGTTCAATATTAATGCCCAAAACTCAGCCCATATCAAGAGCACTTTAGTTGTATTCTTAATTCCTGGCCAAAGCTCACATGACTGTGATAGAGAACTGCTCGCCCTTGAAAGGATAGTTTCCTGTAGTTAAACGTGGAGCTATTCTGTTTATGCAGAATGCACGAGCAAACGCGAGAGAGGGGATGCTGTCACATCTCTGCTGAGACTTAGGACAATACATTCCAGGATATTTCAGCTCATTTTCACGACCAATACATTCCAGGATATTTCAGCTCATTTTCACGACCAATTTTAAATCTACCGGACCTGCACCGTAACTGGAGTGGTGCTGAGGTTCCGGCTGTTCACGCAATGTAAAAAGTGGCGTCCATGCCGCGGCACCTGTACCAGAGCTCCTGTGTTGAAGCACCACTTTTAAAATAATTCCTGGTCTGACCATGGGTAAAAGCAATTGCTGGGCAGCCATGTGTGAGCCAGTACAGCAAGTCGGTTTCTGACCTAGTTGTATAGCAGTGTTTGAGCATTTTTCCTCCACTTGTTTGGGTTTTCTTTGGGCACGGACTTTCCACGAGAAAATGTCCATGGCTCCCGGCTCAAATAAGCATTGGGCATTGGGTGAACTCCTTTGGCTGTTCTCCCAATGAAGATGAGTTCCAACTGTTGCTTGTGTAATGACGACTCGACACACTTCTCTTGAGATGGCACTTTATTGAAGACACGTTCACTTGGCATCAGGCGGAGATCCCACTGCAACAGCCCCGAGTCTCCCTCGCATCTCCCTTGTATCTCTAAACGAGGCCACGCCCCCCTTCTTGATCATTCTCGCTGACTCTGGACACTCCATCTACTGGCAGACTCTACCATCCTCTTCCGTCACCTGACCACGCTCTCTTCTCGTACATTCCCGTAGCTACCAGTCCCTTCACACTCACAACTGATACCCCTGTCATTAGCTCCCGTGGCCACTAGTGCACTCGTACTGTAGGCTGCCTTCCCTGTCATCACCTCCCGTGGCCACTAGTCCCCTCATACCGCATGCAGGCTCTATTGTCATTACATAATCATGGCAGAACATGTATCTCTGGAAACGGCCACTCTTTATGTTTCCTCAAGTGGTACTTTTAAGCACTGAGGAGGAACGACGGGCTGCATGCATATTCATGATCTTACAATTGTGCGTTGAGCAGCCTCATAAGTGCATTGCAAAAGATATATATAAAACAAGTAAAAAAACGGACCAAGTATACAAAGGACCTATTCTGATAAAAAAGAGACTTGGGACTGATTTGAACAGCTTTCAAGGGTAGGCAAATAAATTGCGACTTATAGGCACCACGTCTGGGGTGTACGTGTGCCCGTGCACACAGTAAAAAATTTGAGACTGTGAAAATAACCATATCTGCTTATACAGAGAACCTTTACCTTACAGAATAACCTCTGGGGTGTTTGTAGCACCCCGACCACTCAATTAGCCGAGCCATCTCTACTGGTCACGGCACAGAGTCTGGGATAAACTGAGCAACCGTTTCCATGGATGCATCTGCCACCATTCAAGGGGTATAAGGCAGTGGGGGCTGCCATTGGAATGTTGTTTTTATAAATAATGTTATTTTCAAGGGGTTATGAAATGGTATAAGACGATGGGTATTTTTCTTCATATTTCTGCTAACTCTGATTAGAGACACCTTGTGCAATGTAGTTTGGTACATATTCATTGTTGTCAGAATCTTAGAATTAAAATGTTCTCGGTCAATGTTTGAAAGCCTCTTAATTGTATGACTAAGACAACGCTGGATGGTCATGTGGCATGCCAGTGCACAGAGATGGAATTTCTGGGTTCGACTCCGGGTTTCTGTCACTCATGGTAATAATCAAATAAAATGTAGTTTTTTAAACTTTATTTAGTCTTGGTAAGCTCTGAGAACTATCGTTTATCAATTGTCGAATTTATACCTCTGGGGCAGGGCAAAACATGACGATGAATGCAGCTGCAATAAATGTTTTAGGTAGAAGACACTTGAACCTTTTGTGATATCTTACATGATGAATTATACTTTGAAAGCAAGTGAGACTGGAATAAGAGCAGATTTAAATAATAACACAATCTGAGTGATGAATGGTTATTTGAAGTTACAAAACAAATTTTACGGCCTAATGAAATTATGATGTTACATTTTCCACCTGAGTGCTGCGCTATAGTAGGATAAAAGCGCAGTTTAATGTACTTTTTAATGTCGTGGGCTGTAAATATGCTTGCAGTACATTGTGCCAGTGGAATGTGGATAATGGGTGCTGCAGGAAAAAAATCCATTAACGCCATTAGTGAACATGACAAGTGGAATCCGTGCAAGCACTCAGCCCTTTCAACACTTTGTTTTAACATTCGCATTTATTACGTAAATTGATTACACTCCAAACTCTGTTTGGAATGCTCTGGTTGGCATGTTACTAACATAAAAACAATAATCCACAAACATCTCACCACTGTCATTATTAATACTGCCTGATCACAGAAGGAAGCACTGCACTCTATGTGTAACAAAACATATCAAATTACATTTCTAAACATAATTATATAATGTAGTACTTTGGAAAAGTTGGGAATATTGCCTTCAGTAAAAAAAGGTTCCCTAATATTGGGTCATATTTTTAAAAGGCAAATGGTCTCCGTGCTTAAATCAGCATTGTACCACTACTCATCTCCATTGATAGCTCTAATCCAGTTGTAGATATTCCACATTCTACATTATCACGGTAATAGCCTTAGCTATCACAATTGGGATAGTCATTTTAATATCCACAGTGAATTGATGATGGACTGAGTGGATTCCAGAATAAGATTTTAACTTGTGACCTTCTGATTGGAAATCTGCAACTCGTATATGTTGCCACTTGGCAAGATATGAATGTCTGGGGTCGTGAAAAAAACAGCTTCCTCAACTTAGAATGCGGCCTGGAAGCCAATCAAATAGTGGCATGTGACAGGAGATCACACATTTGGATGCGAATGCAACTGGTCAGCGTCCTAATTATTGGAGAACTTTAGCACAACAATTATTACACAGGTGAATATCTGGAATGCCCCTGCCCAAGCCTTCTGTTTTTTTTTAATGCATCCATGCTGCCAAAACAATTCCATGGAGCACGAAACTTCCCTCTGAACCTTGTGGATCTTAACGAGTATTTAGACATGACTCAGGCGAGGATTGAGTGCTAACTTTGAATTTCCAGTATTTATGCTCATATTCAGTAATTCAACAGTTAGTTCCCCTTTTTTAGGGTAAATGAAATTAATGGAAATCAACAATGTCATCTTCCTGTTGAGGTAAGTTCACTTATAGATGCCATCAATTAAACTTTAGAAAAATTACTTTTGTTAATGATCCCTGCTCTTCCTTGATGAACAATGCATCATAACCACAACTACAAACCACACAATATCTAAGCTATGCTTTATTTGACCAGGTAAGGCCCACTGAGCTATATAGCTCTTTTTTTAGAGTTGGCCACAAATGATTGCTCAACGAAGTGGCTTATAACGTGGAAATTATAGCAGCCAAATACTCTAAACGCATGTTTCTAAATGTGGAGGGAAAAACCGGAGGACCCGGAGAAAAATCAATTCAGCCACGGGGAGAACATGCAAACTCCAAATATACAGGCGTGTCAGGGTCGCGATTGAACCCACGACCTCCTGCATACCAGTCGAGGGAGTTAACATCTCTCCACCACAGCGCCCCCTATAGTTTTAAATTATGTAGTCACATTCAATTTCTTCTAAAAAAATCTGAGATGTTCACGATGAGAATTCATAACAGGTTTTTGGGTTAGATCGCGTAAGTATAAATGTGTCGTGACCCTCCACCACCCGACACAGCCAGTAAGGTTTGTCACATAAACAACTCACCAATTAATTACTATATTCAGCCCACCGTTGTGGTTTGGAGAGTGAATCCACAACAATTTCCAATTTTGTTTCACCGGTTTAATTCATTAACCAGCATCATGTGGCGATTTGCCAGAAGAGTGAAGCAATCCACCTGCTTCCGGTCTTAAATAGAACAAGATGAATATATATTCTTTGGGTCTTTCGGTAAAGCCATGTAGATAAAGCAAGTAATAAAAAATAATTAAAATAATAACATTATCACGACGTTTCGACTGCAACACAAGCAATCGTCGTCAGGTGAGAAATATCACGGGAGAGCTGTTGAGAATATATGGTGGGAGCGCTGCTAAGATAAGGAGTTATAAAGGTTTGCGATGAGTGTAGCCCAAGGGTCAGTGGGAGTGGCTAGAGATGAAATTTGCATGTAAATGTAAGCTCGGAGAGAGCTCGGAAGTACAGTCTGATTGGGACCTACACGTTCAGGGAATTCTTGCAGCCTATAGGATGGCCCCTCATTTCTCTACCAGATTCTCCCTGGTTTTTTTGATGTACGGGAGAGAATGCGACCCCCCCCCCCCCTTTCCTCCCCATGGAAGCCCAGTTAAATATTGAGCCAAGCAAAAAGAGTCGCTGTGCCGGGACTGATGAGCATCACCCTAAAGCGGTTGGCGGAAGCATGGGAGGAGTCCCGGGGAAATTCAGCCAAACGTCAGGCTGCAAATGAAAAATTGGTTGGGCTTAAGGAATCGGAAATCGTGGAAACCTGGGGAGAGGGCATGGCTGCATTGCCCCCAGGTGCCCGTTGGCACATCTCCTAAATTACATAGGCCCGGTGGAGGTAATTGAGGTTAGGAGGCCACAGTGTGTACAGATCCAGGTTGGTCGCAGGCATTGGTATGTGCACCCGTCACGACTGAAACCATATTTTCCACCTTATGAGGGAAATTCATCTCCACCATCTGATAACTGGGTGTGTGATGTGTCCGACGGGGACGGACGTACGTTTACGGAGGTTGCGCCTTTGCGAGACTCTGTTCCTCCGTCCGCAGGATCCCAGGGCTTGACGCCTCATGGAACTGCCGGCGAGTGCCGCCCACAGGCGGACCGGGATGGATGGTACAACCGCCACCCGCTTCTTCCTCTCCTCCGTCTTCGTCCCAGGGGGGACCGCGCCCGTTGGACCAGCTGCTCGTCACCCCCGGAGTCCCTGGGGGACACGTGCCAGGCCCTTACGAGGGACCGGCAACAAGGACCCGTTCAAGACGGTTCGGTTCAGATGACAGCCACTACTCGTCGTTTGGTTGCTGTTATTTTAGGGGCTGGATTGTTGCCATGCATTGCGAAATGTTGCCTGGATATGGCAGTGTTCGTCATCCCGCTACGCGATGTATGGAGGTCAGCCGGGACTGCTGGTTTTTTTCACGGGAGGGGGGGGGTGGGGTGGATGATGTAGTAACATGGAATGAGTCACTGTAGAGCGTGCCACTGGGAGAATGGTAGACAATAGAATTAGGGGTAACAGCCCGTTCTACCAATTGCATCTGCGGGCAAGGCACGGGGCCCTCTGGGGGATCCAGAGGGGTGCAGGGCCGAGGGCGTATCCTGGCCACGCTGTTCAGGATATAAGGCGAGCTCAGACTCACAGTCGGGGCGGCTGCTATCTGGAGTGGAACTGGTCGGCAGCATGTGGGTCTGGCAGCATGTTGGCTGTCCCGACCCGGTAGATAGTTATCCCCTCAGGCTGTGAAGGCCGGAATAAAAGAGACAGCACTTCCTACTAGTGTCTGTGAACTAGCACTCTGCACGTGTAAAAAGCACGCCTACTTGTTTGGATAAGAGAAGTCGACTGAGGTGACATCAGAAATTATGTTGTGATGTCATCTGCTGGATGTCATTCTCCAAAATGGTGAAATGCAACTGGTCAATTTTGGAATTACGAATATACATTTATTGATTTCATGACAAAAACCAACAGCATTCTTGCAAAATACTCACGAGAAACTTTAAATAGTCCAACATTAAAAAATATCAGGCCCCATATACAGTATTTGCAGAATAGTCATAACAATAGACACCTTCAGTCATTACATTCATGACGAGTTTGCCAGCGGTCTTAAAATATCTGTGGTGCATTGCTGATTCTCTCACACACTTACAATAACACTGATAAATGTTGCTGTGTTTTCATGCATTTCTTAAAGCTAGTGTAATGATGTAAGGACAATTCATTGCAAAACAAAGTCTGGCGACACATGGGAATGTATAGGGAAAATAGTTTTTAAAGTTACATTTTTTTACGTACTGTATATACCAAATTTTAAAAAAAGTTTTTTTCTGACACTTTGTCTCTGTCAACAAAATAAGTAACCCTCTGTGGGAAGCCAATAGTGATTACCTTGGATAAGACTTCGTCCACACCATAAAATGTGAATTTCCCACAACTGATTCAGGGTTAACAATGGAGATAAGCGATCCCCCATTGTCATCTGAGCAGCGAGATGCTTAAACTTTTTTAATTATCCAAGGATGTTTTGTGACGATTGTGGTTTAATGGGGTTTACTGGAATGAAATTCTTAGTTTTTGCATACACTTCATGAACTTACAAAAGGGACTTTGCAATGCATGTGTGAGATTGGCTTTATATCCCTTCCAAGAAACCTATGCATTCCCCCCTTTCCTTCGTGACAGAAATGTATGCCATGAAGAATTATTCCTCTATATTCTTGGTTCTTTCGGTAAAGTCACGTAGAAGGGAAACAATAAAATAATAAAAAATATATAAAAAATAAAATTCTCACGACGTTTCGACTGCAACACAAGCAATCATCATCAGGTGTGAAAACCACAGCAAGAACATTTTCTTGATGATTGCTTGCGTTGCAGTCGAAACGTCGTGATACTTTTATTGTTTTATATTTTTATTATTTTATTTTTTCCCTTCTACGTGACTTTACCGAAATAACCAAGAATATGAATCCCTGCAGTCACGAAAGCTTTAAATCAAAATTCTTCCTCTATTTCGGACTATTTATGATTTGAGTTGCACGTGTTTTATTATGCAATGTGTACTCTGAAGGTACGCACTTAGAAGCACTGAATGCCAAACATGTTAGGAAAATTAATTACAGCATGCTCTGATGAGATCATTAATGTTTTCCTTTGCAAAGGTCACCATGTTGATGGTTGAATTTCCTCAGGGCTGGCTTCTTCAAATGATAGTTCATTTATTCATAGCCACGTCATGCTGTTAGCACATTGCAAGTGGGTTGCTTTTGGCTTAACACAGAGAGAAAGGAGTGTGTGGGAGACAGGAAAAATGCCCATGCTGATTGGGGCTAGAAGGTAGGCACTGGGGAAGATGAGAGAAACCCTTTTATTTGTATGTCTCACTGTGCTGGGAGGGCACTGTGGATGGTGACCAACAATACGGTGAGAGGGGTTGCTTGGACTGAATCAATGCTGCTGAAATAATGCACTGCCATGGGGCCGTAGGGCCAATAGGTTGTTTTGAAAAAATACATTGGGGTGGAGGGTGGTGGGGGAGTCGTGTGGAGTTCCTGCCCGTGGCGGCCGGAGGGGAGACGGCACGGAGCGGTGAGATAGTTGCGTGGAATTCCTGCCCATTACTCTTTGGTACCGAAAGAACCAAGGAGTTATTCCTGCAGTCACGAAAGCTTTGAATGTAGTTTGAACCACCTCTACGGGGAGCATTCCCTCACAACTCACACTTAACTTCTAATTTAGCAATCTTTGGGAGAACGTAATCATCCAGGCTATGCGTTGACTGTGCGTTGACTGTGTGTTAACCGACTTTCTGTGTTGCATTGCAGAACATTTCCTAATTTTACTTTGTTTTCTCAAACTTCCTATTTCTCTCTCTGAATGTTGCCGTGCTTGTTTGTTTATAAGTCCATTGTCTCTCCTCCGGCCGCTATAGGCAGGAATTCCACACAACTCTCTCATTGTTCTCTACCCCAATCCCCCCCTCTCTCTCTGCCCCCCCCCTCTATTTAAGGCCTCGACACAGAGGCGTTGTCTTTCTGTTTGTCTATGTGTGTGTCTCTCTCTCTCTGTGTGTATCTCTGCGTTGTCTCTCTCTCTGCTTGTGTGTCTGTGTGTCTACGTGTCTGTGTTTTGTCTCTCTCTCAAATTTAGCAATCTTTGGAAGAACGTAATCAACCAGGTAGGGTGTTGACTGTTATGTTAGCCGACTCTCTGTGTTGTATTGCATTATATTTCTAAGTTCACTAGGTTTGTTTTCTCTTTCATTCGTACCTGATGATGATTGCTTGTGTTGCAATCGAAACGTCGTATTCTATTATTATTATTATTATTTTATTTCTCTCTACGTGACTTTACCGAACGAACCAAAGAGTAATTCCTGCAGTCACGAAAGCTTCGAATCTCGTTTTAAAAAAAATACATGTTTTTTTTTTTTAGTACGCAGAGAGACCGATATGTGAAGGAGACGTTTATCATCCCTCGGACCCATATCTGAAAGCGAGGGTCCTTGCCTGTAACATCTGGCATTGATTGAAGCAAGCCTGATTCTGCCGATGAGACAAATGTATTGACACCGGTCCCAAAGTTTCCTTGTATTGAACCAATGTGCGCTGAAATTATATACTGCCGGGATGATGTGGAGCTGATGGTTTGTGTGAATATGTATTTTTTTTTTTTATGAAGAGATGCCACGTTATTATTTTGTGTTTTGAAGTATTACTATTAGTTCTAGACAGGTCTGTTTTTTTTGTATTTATTTTAACTTCTGAAGCCGAGTAGACTCTTTGAAATGTGTGACCTAATGATTACCAACCCACTGTATCTCCCTCCCTTTCTTGTAGCAATGGGGTATTTTATGAACGCAATTATTATTAACAGGAACCAGTTTTTATTTGTGTACGTGCAGTAGTGTAGCGGTTAGCGCGCTGCGCTGCAGACCCGGACACCCGAGTTAGATTCTTGCTCGCGGCCAACACCAGTGACTAAATTAGAACTGGTCCTTGGGCTCCCCTAGGTAGACTCCGCCTCAAATGAGTACTGTACCTGATGCGATGTGTAAACATTGCCGCTAGGGAGACAAAGATGGTCAGGCGTGGTGCTGGCCATCCACCCCCTTGTGTGCTGTGCCGGCCTTTTTAGGCGCCCCAACAGCCTGTTAAGGCTATACGGGGGATCTTTGTCCTTTTTTGTCTTCATATAAATGGAGTGATGGTGTATTAATTACCACACTGCACTCCGAAAATAGCGAAGAGGGTTTGATTATCAGCCATCGGTAACATCAGTAACAAGTGATATCGGAACTTGTGCTGGGTCTCCGGTAGGTCAACTTGGAATTAAATGCATTTCTCGTGCAGTGTGTAAACATCAGCATAGTGTAGACAAAAGTGGCCAGGCATGGCACTGACCACACCACCCTTTCAGCACTCTCCCCAAGAGTCTGTGTGACTATATTCTACAGGGGACCTTAGTGGGCGTGTATGTATGAGATTGATGTCGTAGTGGCTTCCTAGCCACGACGCATCTGCCTTGGACCTATTTTATGTAGGCTCAGTTTTGAACGAGTAACTGGTTTGGTGTTCTCATCATCTCAACATCAGCTCTAGCTGATCGGCTCTAGCTGATGTTGCTCTTCACACCGGCCCTTAATGGGGCTTTGCTTAATCAGTACCTACCCTGTTCCTGTTATGATGGGGTTTCTCATCATGTACAGATGTCAATATCATTTGCTACAGCCACAATATGGGCTGCATGTTTGAAGGCACTCTAGACGTGCATTTATATTCCATGTGCGTGCCTTGAGAAGATCAAGTGCGTTACCCAGTATTTGGGGAAAAAACACTACTTTGAGTGAAGATTAATCATGACACCTTTTGGGCAATTTTTTTTCTAAACATGTCTGTTTTAATTGTCATACGAAACGTGAAAATAACAATATCAATAATAAATATAAATACCTTATGTGGTGTTTATGATCTAAAATTAAGAATGCCAATGCTCTTATCGAAAACACCTTTTGCTGCTTGTTTAACTATTTTGATTCATTCTCTTTGTTTTAGGAATGCATAAACTTACTTCAATATCTACGGGTGTGATGATACATCGATCAATACGATTTTAGGTCCCGTTACATCCGCATTGCATTGTACGTGTAACGATTAATCTTTTTAGATTCGTATTTGCATGTGTAGTGACTGACTCGGAGACACTGAGAGTAGGAGGCTCTGTTTACTAACACGGCCTAATAGTTCACACTTAGTAACT